ACTGAGCTGCAGAAGACAAGCTAACAAGCTCTCTGCTGGTAGTGTGGGCTTCTGAATGTCATGCATTACTAAACCAACATAAAGAAATGCACAGTTGGGATGCAGAGTGGTCGTTATTGGCTTGTCCAGTGCCACACACGGAGCAGAAAGGAGACAGGTATCCTGATTTCATTTACAAATCAATGATAAAGAACACAAAGAAATACCCACATCTGAAGACCTTAAGTACAGAACATTGCAAACAATGATTTTTACTGCATAAATGAAAGACTGGAAATGAAGAGGAAACTGTCAACTCCAACTTTATTAACAGTACTAAAAATGCAACAAAATACAACAAAAAAATGACCTAAACTTTAAGACCCCACCTCCCAACCTGTGACTGGAGCCTGTATGATTAACATCCAAGTACCTCTTACCTGAAATATAACATATGAATAAATTCCTTTAGATATGAATACAGCTCCTCTGTGTTGATATTATATTGAACGACTTTGACAGGCTGTAGAAAGAAATAATCCATAGTCAGCATGAATATTGGACAATGATTATCTAGAAATATATCATCTCAGTACATATAATCTGCTACATACAAAGAGCCTGCTTTGCTGTTACATACACGATGCAGCACAGTAACTCATCCTAGAACTACACTGCAGATTTTACTTCAGAATTTTTCATACCACTAATTTAACATTAGTTTTTCAACACTGCCACTCTCTTCTTAAGAAAAAAAAGCTTAAATAGGTAAAGAAATTTTTCATTAAATACCCCCAAAATAAGATGCATGGCTGATATGTACCAAGTAATACACATCAGCATCACAGTTACTTGTACCTACTTTCAGTATTTAATTACAGCTGTTGTAACATGATGAAGAACAGCCAATCATGAACAGGTCTACCTGACAATGCCTTCACAATATACCAGTGTAAAGGTGAAATGGTTTACCTTAGAGACATCAGGTTTCTTTATTTCACTAGGAATAATGCATCTTGGTCCAGTTTCACCTGCAAAACCACACCTAAAAGAAAACATTGGGAATCCCATCATTTGTAGTCACTACATAGCATACATGCCCATGAATCAAAGAGTAATCAATCAGGAATATTTCTGCAGCTACTAAGAGATATTCTGCACATGACTTTTCTATCTACTTAGACAGAACAACAAACATTTTCTCTCTCTTATTGACTCCTTCTCAGCTGCATTAAGCAGAATAGGTTTACTTCACTTCTGTAGAGACTCAGTTGTGAAGCTCAACTTTGATGCGTGTCTGCATTTCTGTCACATATAATCTTTGACAGAGGATCATCCACCACCAGCCTTCCTTACTGCCTATTAAATTCCCACACAAATAACTTCCCCTGTTTCCGTATCAGCCCCAGTTGCACTGAAGCTCTCAGTGCTCACAGGCACCATTCATTCACACCCTGCTTACATCCTCATTTTCTGTGAGGTGCATTTACAAAAAACAAGAGACAGCCTCGATGACTGTCATCACAGAATCACACAGAATGGCCAGGGTTGGAAGGGACCTCAAGGATCATGAAGCTCCAACCCCCCACCACAAGACAGGGACACCAACCTCCACATCTCATAGCAGCCCAGGCTGCCCAGGGCCCCATCCAACCTGGCCTTGAACACCTCCAGGGATGGACAGGGCATCCACAGCCTCTCTGGGCAGCTGTTCCAGCACCTCAACACTCTCTCTGTAAACAACTTGGAGATTCTAGAAGCTCCTGCTCTCCATTTCACTGCTCCCCAACAAGAAGCATCTCTCCTGAGATGACTTCTAAAGAAACTTCTAAGAACAGACAAAGATCAGAACTTCCATGTTTCATTTTGGTCCCGTAAGGAATTCTCCAGTCCCAGGGCACGCGAGCAGCTGCATCTACCTGCCAGCCCCATCGCTCCTGAGGAATTAAGCCCAGGTTCAGAAGAACTTCGGCAAGGACGGCTACACAAAGGACACGCAGTGGCACGGGGCGCCCAAGGCGAGGCTGGACGCGGCCCTGGCAGCCCGACGGAGCTGCGGTGTGCCCGCCCAGCGCGGGGAGTCGGATGGACGGCCCTCAGAACACAGCTTCCGAAGCATCCCGACGTCGCGGCAGGGAAGCACACGAGGCCCGGCGAGGCCAGCCGCCACAGCGAGCCGCAGCCAAGCCCGCACTCACTTGGTGAAGGCCTCGCCCAGGTCGAGCACCACGGCGGTCTTCTCCCCGCCGCTTCCCAGGCCCTCGTACAGCGGCATCGCGGCCCCCGGCTCCCAGCAGCACGGCGCTGACAGAGGCGGAGCGTCCCTCCGCGGGTCCTTCCTGCTGCGGGCCCTTCCTCCCTCCGGCTCGCTAAGCTGCCCGCGGCGCCTGACCGCTTCTCGCCGCCCCGCTCTTCCTGCCTACTGCCGCCTCCCGCCCTTCGGCGCCACGGCCGCCCGCCGGGACGCTCTGAGACACGGGGCGGTTTTTCCCTCGGCTCCGCTCGGCGTTGGCTGCCAGCAGCTGTGGCGGCACCGCCAGGGACGGCTCACAGCACAGCCCGCTGCAGCCTGCCCATTTCTGCCTGCCTCTTCAGATACCGACCGGCAGGAATTACTGGTTACAGTCACAGAAGCACGGAGCCGCAGCGCTGTGTGTGTGAAGTTTGTAGAAACCAAGATCGTACGTTGGAACGAAACAAAAACCACGTTCGTCTGCTTGCAACCTGGATGTGCCCGCATACAGCGACAGACTTCACCCCAGTGCTGAGGTTTTAGTGCTAAAGTTAGAAAGCGTTAAGTTACTCTCAATCATCTTAAATGCTGGCCTTAAAGGTAAGATACACACTGCTGCAAGGAAGCTCAGCCAGCAGCTGCTTACGCAAAGTTACCCAAAAAGTCTGCAATGCTCAGCCTGCCTTACGTTCCTGGTTGGTAAAAACCACATCGTGAGACCCCTCAGTGTGAGTTGGGGTGGATGTGTTCTACAGGTGTGCATGGAGGAGCTGTTAATAGAAAAAGAAAGTGCATCCTGAAAGGCAACACATCAAATAAACAATAAATACATCAAATAAACACATCAAATAAACAAATAAACCCTGCAAACTAAAAGGTGCTGTTGAAGTGAACACAGGACACCAAGGGTTTTCTGCATCAGCACGAGGCCAAGAACACACGCTGGCACACAGCAGTGTGTTTTGCATCTGCAACTGCACCCACAGATGCTGCTGTTTGCTGCAAGGCAACAGAATTCTCTATGTACATGATGAAAGAAGGTGTTTCATTGCTGAAGCACTGAAAACAGAGCTCACTCCTCAGGAGAAATACTGTCCCAGCAACTTTGCTAAGGAACCCAAGCCATTTCCTAGCAGTTCCAACACATGATCCCACGTAAAGCATCCCGCTCTTCAGTTTGGCAGGAAAGCTTCCAGATGTTTCCCAAAGCAGACAGTCCTGCAGTCTTCTCAGACTACTTTACATCAAAGTATCTTAAAACCAAGCACCTTCACAACGTCATTTACTGCACCAATAAATAACAGACCTCACTAAGCTACAACTTGCAATTACATACCATTTCTTCACTGGGTGACAAAGTAGCTCTGGAGTTAACAGAATCCATCTTTAAACTGCACATGAACACAATTCCACATACAGTGCTGGTAACTATCACTGTACTTCCCCAGAACATCCACACTGGTCTTATTTAATGGCATTACACACAGATTACTCCATACAGGAAATCCTACTGATATTTACATACATGTACTTGAAACAGAGGAGGAGAATTCTCGTGTAGCATTTTGATGCTTATTTCTCAGTAGAAAAAGCCCTCTTCATCAGTGGTGGGGGTGCTTTTCCAACATCAAACATCATCTCCAGTGGAGGATTACTCAGACAGCACCAGTCAGGTATGCGCCCCGTCTGGCTGTAATATTCTCTGGACACAGACCGGCTCCCAAGAACGTCCTGAAGTGCTCCAAAAATGGCTCCTATGTTATTGATAAAAAAAAATATAGTTCTGCATTAAAGAGGAATTAAAGGGTTGAGGTATTTACATTGTTAGTAGCCCTGTTTGACCCTAAATGCCCCCATTTATACTCCATGAAAGTAACTAAAAAGAAAAAAATCACCACATCACAGCTGAGAACAAAAGCCTCCCAGCTGACCTCTTTCTCACAAAGAACCTTTCCTACAAGATTACAGGTTACACTTCACAAACTATCATTATCAGGAAATCCCCTCTGTCACAGACAGGTGTAACACAACAGCCATAAGAAGGTCACCCAAGCTGAGAGGGGATTCAGACCACAGCAGCTAGACCAGCAACCAGTGAGAGCAAATATCAGGGAACGTGGTGCACGTAAATTGTTCTGATTGCTAATCCTAAAAATGAGACTCCATGAGTTTTGTAAATAAACTTTGATAAACATATTTCAAAAGCAGATCAAAATAAAATTCAAGTTAGTTCCTCAGACAAACAACATATTACCAACCAGAAGTTTAGAAAAGCATCTTTTCAATAAGAAAATCCTCCCGAAAAGAGGCACTACCAATGTAAAGCCCTTTCTGACCATGCTTCTTTCCCTAGCTTGTCAGTAATGCATCTAAAATCCATTCTGGAATTGAAGTACTCGTTCCTGGCACTCTGGGACAGCACAGGGAAGTAACAGCCTCCAGCCTGCCCCTAGCTAGCAGCTTTCGAGTCACTAGTTAAACTTTCATCAAACAAGGAGGTTGCTGAACAACCAGCAGGTCTGTGCTCCCCCTCAGTTCTTTACTGCTGCCACCACATGGCAGGAGCCACAAACTGCACTCGCTCCCACACTGCTGTTTAAACTGCAAGTCACCTGCTTCAAGTTCCCAAAACCTGCAGTGCCATTCTGCAATGCTTCTTCCAGGAGGACTTAACAACTCCACAGACATCACGTGCACTTCACTTCCAACAGTTCAGTTAAGCTCTACTGCCACTTATTCATTACAAACCCCACTTGCAAGATCTGTTTTCCCACTTGGGACCTGTGCTCCAAAAGCTGTTCCCATTCTTACCTCCCAGCCACGCCACGTAGTTGGGTTTGGCAGGTGGAGTGTGAACTTTGAAGGTTTTAGTCGCAAGCACTTCTCTGTATTTCGGTTTTTCTACCAGGTACCTGATTTCAGCCATCAGTCTGTGCAGGAATCCCGGCAACATGGCAGTGCCACCCATAACCACCAAGTTCTCTGCCAACTGCTTCCTCGTGTCGATGGGACACTAACAAGAAAGGCAATTGAAAAGAAAAAAAACACATTTCAATGGCAGTTGCACACACATACTTTCAAAGGTCTCTCAGAAATTCAGTCAGTCTTTCTATGCACTTCAACTACTTGTTTCAACCAAGGAGGAGAAAACATCTACATCATTTTCTACCCAGATTTCACCAAAAGGCCGAATTAAAGGAACTGCCCACTTGAGGTTGCCATGTGCACACTGTGAGTCACCGTAAATCCCTTTAGCTGAGTCTGGCCAAGACAAAAGATGGCTGGGGTATCAGTGCCATGAATTCCCATCAGTCCTGGGAGAAGAAATGCCAAATATCTCTAAAATACTGCCTGTAAAAATAACGTCCCAACAACTTTCATGTAACTCAGGCCTTTTGCTGAGGAGGGAGCACTGCACTGCTTCTTTTCTTGACTGAAAACTGTCCCAAAGAAACTGCAATGTACCAGAAATTACAAAAACAACCACAGAGGGAATGGCACACAGTGACTCGCTGCCCCACAGGAATTCATCACAGGGCACAACCTGAGGAATCACGTTGTGCTGACTGCAACCTGTAGCCAGGGGGTTGACACAGCAAGAGCCATTTATAAGAGCAGATTCTGAGGCTAGAGGTGTGCAAGCTCTTGTTTATATCATGAAGATACCTGAATGAGTGAATCTAAGATCAAAGTGGCAACAGATGTCTCTTCGTTATCCTGTTCAAACAGTATTTCCGCAACTGAGTCTCTGTTGAAAAGACAGGAGAGGAGTGTTAGCTCACAGAGCAGCACTGCTGCCCTCTAACAGCAGGGCTAGAAACAACCACAGACTTCTTGCTGACAGCACAACATCACAATGACTTCTGTCACACAGTGCATACACCAGGAGGTGCCAAAGCCTCACTAACTCCATTACATTCATCTCACCACCATTTACTCTTTCTCCATTTGTGTCCTTCCCCATCACTCTGATCCATTGGCTCTCATCTTCAATTGCAAACACTCTGGGGAAGCAAAAAGCTTTTAGCATGTTTGCTCTGTGCCCGGCACAAAGGCTCAGGTTAAGAGACAAAAATGCAACTGCATCAAATGCAGTTCAGTTGTACTAAAACCTACATGGCTCTTGAAAATATATCCTCCAAAGGACAAACACTGCACTACAGTATTTCTCACCGGATGGAGCCAACTACATGGAGAATCTTTTCACCATCTAAAGGATAGTCCACATCTGGAGGCGGTGAAGGACGCTAGGAGTAAAAATGTGTGTTGTTTTCAAAGCCAGAACAGTCACAGCCACTTCAGGAAAGTTCAGGGGGGACTTTCTATTCTCTGCTCACCTCAGCACTGCCATCAATGTTGAACTTGGCTGCTTGGATTTTCAGTCCACGTTGGAGATCACTCACAAAACAAGTGTGAACTTCGTAAAACAAAAGGACAGAAGAGAGAATTCATTGGATCAACAGTACAATTTTGTTTTATTTACAAAACACATTCTAGAAAGAAAAAAAGCAAAAACAACAACCAAGCTTCCATACTCAGCTGAGCTCAGATGTATCTAGGCTCTAAGTTTAAATGAAGCTGACAACACCTAGGCAAGATTTCTTTCTCAAAGAAGCCAAATACGATGTAAAAAAATCAAAGACATTATTAATTGTGCCTCTGGTTACCCATGCGGTGGCATGGGCTGAACTCAGCTGTCCAACTCACCACACCAGGTCTTGCACGACAGCTTCCCACAAGATCCTTTATAAATAATCCCACATCAATATAAAAGCAATCCTAATTTCAACCCTAATACTTCACAACTGATCACAAGAGACTGTCTCAAAACCAGAAAACTGTCTTCCAGAAATACAGTCCAGGAATTAGAAAAGCAATTTCCACTTGAGAAAGCAGCAGTAGCATTCAAGTTACTTTGCATTTGACCGATGGATTTCTTCCTAGCTTGGTCCAGAAGACCTATACCACATATATATATATATATATATACACACACTAATATGGGCCATAACCTACAATTATATAAATACTTTTATATAATGCAGAATCACAATAAACATTACATAGGAGCACATTTAAGTTCTGCCCAAATATGTATCCTAAGTTTTTCTGGTGTAAAGTAACTCTTTGGTTTGGCTTGACCACCAGGTTAACCTAACCTGCTGATGGTAGGATATATCTGACAGCATAATGCTCCTATTGCATTAGTCTACCTAAATATGAACTATTTCTTGGCAGCACAAGGACTACACCTAAATGAGAATTTAATGATGTTTTGTGCTTGCCTTCAGAGCGGAAAAACATTGCAAGTGATTCTAGAAGGCACAATATACAATAAGTCTAATGTGATAAACAACTAAACAGATAGTCTTCAACACTGGATATCACACTCTCCTCTACTACACAATTTAAAGAACTAATGGCAGAAAGCTTTACCTTTTATATCTTCTACTATGTCTTCTGAAACAGAGCCTGCAGATACAACAACAAAAAAAATCACTGAGAACAAAAAGCTTTTTGGAAAGCAAAAAGAGAACAAAAAACCAAACTAATTTTGAATTCCAATTAGGACACTTAAGGTTTCACTTCGACTGAGGCCAATAAAGATTTCTAAGATGAAGAACAGAAAGTTTGTGTTCTCTCAAAAGACAATGAAAACTTCCCACAGAACTTTCATCTGAGCTGCCAGTCCAATTTTATTGTAAGTGGCTGATTACAAGAGTAATATACTTTAATATGGAAACAGAAATCACGAGAGAAGACCACATAAGATATGATGAATACATCACTATTTCTATTACACTGCAGCAAACAGCCCTTACCCATTACAGATGGAAGGCTTTGGCCTTTGGCTAATCCTGTATCAACTGTGCACTGCTCCAACAGCCGATATTCCAGCTCCCTAAAATAGGGCAAATTAAGACAGGTAAAGACAGCTATTAGCACATGATTACTCCCCATATTATGCTTATCATACAGTATTTACTCACTTCAGCTACATCCTTTTACATCTAGACTGAGGGAGATCGGATAGCTGCAAACTTACTTGTGGATGGCTTTTCCTCCCAAAGGAAGAGAACCCCAGCAGCTCAGAATCGGAGTTCCCTCATAAATCTACATGAAGATCAGGAAATTCTCTTTTTCTGACAGGAGTTTCCAGCCCGCTGGAACTGAATGCTGTTTCTCAAAGTGCATTTTCCTGCACTTGCTATCCTTCTCCAAAACTAATTACTACTGTATAAACAATGGAGTTACAAATCAACCTTGGAGCCCCATAAGCTTTAGAGGGATACAGACTTAACATGGCAGCTGTGAGCAGATTCCCCAGGTTATGATAACTTATAAACAAAAGCTGGATCAGCTGATCCATTCAGACTCCATGTCTGTACAACATCAGCTTTTCATCAGAGCCTTCCTGCTGAAAGCTTTCACTCTGCATTAGGAAAGGATACAGGCAGCACCAAGCTTTCTTTATATCCACAGTCTAGCACCATGGCAGAGTTGATCCCAAGTGTCAGAAGAGACATGAGATGGCTTGGAGCAAACAAAACAGAAGGTACCTGCAAGGAAAACAAGATGGCAACTGACAGAAGAGGAAAAAATAGAACCAACCAACACCCAATGCACCAATGCATTCTCAGGATGCAAAATCTGAACAACTGCCTCTAAAGGTATCCATTTTTAATTCAGTCTTTATGGAAGTGCAGTTATTAATAAAGCCGCAGGATACTGAAATCTATGTTTTTACTTTTTTGAAATCTACAATTTTAAAATTGATCTTGTTTGTGGTACTTTCAAGGCACTTCAGATATAATTAATGGGAGAATGGACTCATACTGAAAGCATTCATTATGGAATACTGACCCTGTATTAAAATGTCACTCATTCACTGCACAAGACAAAAATATCAGCCAGAGAATTAACCTCACCAGTACTAACTAGTTTCTTAACATATTACAAAGTCCCCACAAAACATGACTGTCCAAGTCACGAGTCACTTCTGACATCCAATTCCGCATGAGAGTGCTTGATATCAAAGATTTCCCCTCCCCTCCAATAAGGGATTCAGTGGTTGGGAACAAAGAAAACCCACACAAATCTTTCAGCGATTTCAAGTTATCTGAAATTTTATCCATAGTAAGAAAAAATTAGACAGAATGTTAAGATTAGTTGTTAAAGTGGGTTGTAAAAGCATAGCTGAGAAGCACTGCAGGCAAACTAATTTCCCCACATTATAGTACAACTCCAATCTTTGTTCTACCTGAATCAAAAAATTACAGAATCGCCTTCCAAAGCATTTGGTTGTGGAACAAACCAAGAGTTAGTTTTGGACTTTTCTTAAAGCAATCAAAAACTGATTAAGCAGAAGAAATAATGAATTTCAGGTAAGTTCTTATTTCCTGAATGAGTACAGCCAGAGGTGAGATCATGTGCTAGACAAAGATATTGACTCTGATAAAAATCATGACATTTGCTGATAGAGAACAAGAAGCATTTAAGTATAAATTCTGGCTTCAAGCAGTACTCAATGGGGACTATTGGATCTGTCTGGAACAGCATAATGTGGTTTGTACTTTCCTACAACCCAGAGAAGCCTTTCAGATTCTTAAAGAGAACTGTTTTGTGGCCTTATTAAAAGTTACCCAGCAAAAAGAGGTGTTCCAGTCTGATCTCCCAGCCCCACCTCCCCAAGTGACTATCTCCACTTTTTTTTTTTTTTAATCTTTATGCATCTCACACTTCAGAACGAGGGGAAATAGTCTTAATCAGGAAGAGGGCAGATTTAGATGAGATGTCAGGAAGAAATTCTTTCCTGTGATGGTGAGACACTGGAACAGATTGTTCAGTGAGGTTATCAATGTCCCCTCCCTGGCATTCAAGGCCAGGCTGGATGGGGCTGTGAGCAACCTGCTCTAGAGGGAGGTGTCCCTGCCTATAGCAGGGGGTTGAAACTGAATCATCTTGAAGGTCTCTTCCAACCCAAACCATTCTGTGATTCTTCCGCCATTATTTCCACTCCTTTCTCCACATCATTACTATGGTTCTAACCATTAAGTGCTATGCTCAGCACATACAGTAGTTACATAAAATGCGCACCTCAAAATGCTTGAGAAGGACTCTGGCAAGAGTGTCTCTGAAGTGTGAAGGGCAGAGGACAGATTCTATGATCACAACACGATGGTCACTGGGATTCACCAGAAGATGTCTAAAAATTAAAAATGAAAGAATCAAGACATGCAAACAGAACTGCTGAGTTTATGTACGTATGACAACACCTACCTTCATCTGATGTCCCGTTCTACCTACAAATCCTAATGTTTTGCATTTTGATAGCATTTTTAAGAGAGATCTCAACGTCTCTTGCTCAAATTTAAACACTAAAACCCAATGTTCTCACTGAAAGTAAGGAAACTGAGCTGCAGAAGACAAGCTAACAAGCTCTCTGCTGGTAGTGTGGGCTTCTGAATGTCATGCATTACTAGACCAACATAAAGAAATGCACAGTGGGGATGCAGAGTGGTCATTATTCACTTGTCCAGTGCCACACAGTGCCACACACGGAGCAGAAAGGAGACAGGTATCCTGATTTCATTTACAAATCAATGATAAAGAACACAAAGAATTACCCACATCTGAAGATCTTAAGTACAGAACATTGCAAACAATGATTTTTACTGCATAAATGAAAGACTGGAAATAAAGAAGTCGTCCACTTCATTACTCCTTAACAGCACTAAAAATACAACAAAGCATTATTGAGATAGAAACGTCCTATGCTTTAAGACTCCATCTCCTACACCATGACCACGTGGCATGACCATGTGGCTGCACTGAAGTTCAGCCTAGAATGAGCTTCAGCCCCACTAAAATCAGTACAAGTCCTCAGGTACTGACCTTCCCCCGTTACATCCTTTAGGAGTACAACATTTCAAAGGCGACTTTAGTGAGCAACTAATGCTCTAGGACTCTAACAATTTGCAATATAACCTGAAACTCAGCACCACTGAGCTTCTCCAGCACATACACAGCCAGGCAGACACCTGCAAAATTAAATTTGTTTTCTCAACCAGAAAGCAGTCTCTACTGACACTTATATGCCTCTTGATGCACTCCAAAAAAATGAGCTGCAGAAGGTCTGCATGACTAACATCCAACAATCTCTTACCTAAAATATAACATATGAATAAATTCCTCCAGATATGAATATAGCTCTTCTGCACTGATATTATATTGAACAACCTTGACTGGCTGTAAAGAGAAAATATCCATTGACAGCAGACATATTAGACATTGATTATATATCACCAGAGTACATATAATCTGCTACATACAAAGGAAGTCCCACTTCTGCCTGTTTCAATGTTATATACCTGATGTCCCCCAAAAAATCATCTTGTAAGTAAAACACAGAATTTACTTCATGCTAATTTTTCACATGACTAATTTAACATTAGTTTTCCAAAGCTGCAATTCTCTACTTTTAAAAAAGCCAACTTTATCAACTGTCAGTATTTAGTAGCAGATGTTGCTATACCATGAAGAACAGCCAATGACAAACAGAAGATCTGACAATTCCCTCTATAACACAACATACCAAACATTGTAAAGGTGAAATGGTTTACGATGATTTACCTTTGGGACATCAGGTTTCTTTATTTCACTAGGAATAATGCATCTTGGTCCTGTTTCACCTGCAAAACCACACCTAAAAGAAAACATTGAAAATCTTACCAGTGGTAATCACTGTTTAGCATACATGCCTGAGAATCACAGAATTATAGAATCACTGAGGTTGGAAAAGACTCACAGGATTACCCAGTCCAACCATCCACCCATCACCAACAGTTCTCACTAAACTATGTCCCTCAAGACAACATCCAAGCGTTGGCTGAACACCTCCAGGGGTAGTGACTCCACCACCTCCCTGGGCAGCCCATTCCAGTGCCTGAATCAAGGAGTAATCAATCAGGAATATTTCTGCAGCTACTAAGAGATATTCTGCACATGACTTTTCTATCTACTTAGACTGAACAAGACATATTTCCTATCATTTATTGACTCCCTCTCAGCTGCATTAAGCAGAATAGGTTTACTTCACCTCTGAAAGTACAGTCTTTGACAGAGGATCATCCACCACCAGCCTTCCTTACTGCCTATTAAATTCCCACACAAATAACTTCCCCTTCCGTATCAGCCCCAGTTGCACTGAAGCTCTCAGTGCTCACAGGCACCATTCATTCACACCCTGCTTACACCCTCATTTTCTGTGAGGTGCATTTACAAGAAACAAGAGACAGCCTCAATGACTGTCATCACAGAATCACACAGAATGGCCAGGGTTGGAAGGGACCTCAAGGATCACGAAGCTCCAACCCCCCGCCACAAGACAGGGACACCAACCTCCACATCTCATAGCAGCCCAGGCTGCCCAGGGCCCCATCCAACCTGGC